GCCTCACCAAGGCCGAGTACAAAGGGAGAATGACGTCCCGTCTATCATGATGATGGTGATAGTTTTATTTAGACAGTGTCTGAAACCCTGGAGTATAGTTTTGTGAGCTGTGATATGTAGGGCTGGATCAGAGGCATAGGGTGGAAAAAATGTATCTGGGGCAGTCCTGCCTAAATCTATTCTCCTCCTACCTCCTATTTGCAGGCCACAGGAACAGCACTAAGAAGCAGCTGGGCAGTGATAGAGACATTACACATAAATCAGTTTAAGTGGTCAGAAACTGGTTTAAACCTGTAACAGAACAGACATTCAGTGCACATAAACCAGTTTCAAAATGACTGAAACTGGCTTGAGATAAATCTGGTTGAATGTAGTATCAGATTTAATTGATTTGGTTCAAACCAATTTATGCAAAATCTTTCCCAGACCCCTTCCTGGTTTAAGTTAAACCAGACTCCCCCCCCAGCATCTTGGCATGCTCTCTGGCCTGGGCTCTCTGCTCCAGCCCAGCCAGGCTGGCCTCACCCCCTGCTCCCCAGCTAGAGCAGGGACAGGCAGGGGTGGGGGTCTGACCAGAGAGGGGTTTAATTCCCCACCTCTCTGTCCCACCGGTAGGGACCCAAGCCGGGTCCGCTGGGCATTCCCCACTCACTGCTGCAGCCCCAACACTGGGGCACCATGGCCGCTGAGGCAGAGGAGGACAGGGAGGAGAATTAGTGTTCCCTCTACCCCCACTGACAGCTGGGTCTGCCTGCCATCACTGCTACACTGGCTCCCTGTGGGGGAATAGGCCCCCTGCTGTCCCCTCCACTAGATGCCAGAGGGAGGAGGAATAAACCCTGTCCCTGCCCCCACCCCCTAAGGGGCCCTGTCTGGCTATGGCCCCACCCTGTCACTACAGCAGGAGGGGGCAGGGCCCTTGTTGGCGGGCAGCAGCCCCTGTCACAATGTCAGGGAATGCAAGCCTCTTCCCAATGGCGGTGCTGCATTGCGGGGCTGGCAGACCTGCAGCAGGCCGTGTGCAGCAGCGCCGGGGTCCAGAGTGGGCCAGAGCCCTGCAAGCCCTTTGCAGCACTGCCACACTGCAGCAGCTCTGCCAGCCCTGCAGTGTGGCCCCCACCAGGAAGAGGCTCATGTTTGGGGTAATGGGGACAGGGGCTGTTGTCCCCATCGTGGTAGCTCCCTCCTTGCAGCTCCAGCAGCTGGGCAGAGGTGGGGGTGAGCCAGACGCTGCCTGCAGGGCCTCTAGGGGGAGGGGAGCAGGGAGTGGGGTTATTCGTCACTCTGCCCCTGGGGCATGGAAGCTGGGTCTGCCCAGCCCAGCCACAGCTGCTGCTCAGTCTGCGCTTGGGGGAGCATCTGGCAGAATAAGCTCCCTCTTGTCAGGAGGGGGCTGGCCCTGAGCACAGACCGAGTTTGCTGGCCACTCGGTCTATAGGCCTGTGATCAGGGCCAGCCCCTTCCCCACACCTGGCAGGAGGGGGCTTATTCTGTTGGACACTGCCCCAAGCACAGACCAAGGCAAAGTCATCTACCATTAGTCTTTCCTGTGTCAGCTGATGCTGTGACTCTACCCACTGTTTTCTCCTACTTGTCTTCTTTTGGACTGTCTGTGCAAAAGATTGCTCTCCACAGGATACACATATGGCAGAGAGGAGGAAAGAGGTATTATGTCCCATTTCCTTCCAGGTGCAAGTATGGAAGGCAGGTGGTGATCATGCCATAATATTCTGTCAAATTTACATGTGACACATTAAATAAAACTTGGATAATACGTCTAAAATAGACCAATAAACTCTAGAGTAATATTATCATAATCGAAACTAAAATAATATGGTATGCACTCTGCATAAATGTGTCAAATTGCAGTAGTATCTGGGGATCCCACTTAGGGTTATATTACCCATATGGTTTTCTTCATTTCCATTCTTCCTTTATACCAGACAGTTTAGAGTTGGCCCTCCATACTCCTCACTTGACTATTTTTTTAGGCTTAAACTTAAAAGTTGTTTGGTTTTGCAGCCAGTCCACTTGATAAGGATTTATGTATACTCCTGGGTCATTTGAAATGCATTAATATGTGGACATAGAAATAAGTCAAACCTGAGAAAAAAGAAAGAAAAAGAAAAAATGTGGTATCAATCAAGGCAAATTTTTAAATTCATACACTCACTTTGCAGTGTATAATGTTTACAAGGTACAGCGTAGTTACTGGACCTTTGAGAACTTATTGCTAACTCACATCATGCTTTGGTATTTGAAATATTTCCTGGCAGTAACAATAATAAAAAGTAAGAAACAATAAACCTTTTTAAGGCAGAATTATTATTTACGACCTTTAATTAAAAATGAAAATTGGCTTAATGTCAAAAAGCCTTTACAAATATGTGAATTCATCAAAAAACCCCATAAAAATTCCAAGGTGATAAAGGCACAGTGGAGAAATAGTACCAGCCCTAGGGAACTGTTCTGTTGAAAAGAATGAAACCCTTTGCTGTCACACCCTGTTAGTCATGGATTCGTTTAATATATCCTGCCCGACTGCCTCTAATCCTCTTTCTAAATTCCCCCTACACACCAAATGACATCATTTTGGTGTCTGAGAAGTTCTACGGTCTCCAAGACTGTATACTAAAATATGTTCTTGATGCTGCACAGATTTTAACTAATTAAGGAAATATATTCAGAGCAGTGGAGATGCCATGGAGCCATCTAGTCACCATGTCAGTCTGTGGTTACATTGACTCTTCTGCACAGTTTTTCATGATTCATCTGCAAAACTTCTGGCCCCTCTTTCAGGCTGTCTGACTGGCCAGAGAAATTATAAATTAAAATAGAAAACCTATATAGGTACATTCCTTTAATTGCTTTTTGCTGATGTACTTTCATGATCTATTATGCAAGGTCAAGTGACTGATTCAGTGATTCTTTTGGAGGCAAACCCATATAGATCAACTGAAAGTTTTTCTTTGTAAAGGGATAAATTCTAGCCTTGTTGAAGTCAACAGCAAGATTTATATTTAATATATGCACTTCAGCAATTTTGAGCTATACCTAGTTTTACCCACACTTTTTAATTTTATTTTGAACATACAATCAAAAATTAAATTTCAAAGTGTGGGTATAGCTAGTTTATAACTATGTGAAATTTCTGTCATTGATAGAAATAAACAGTCTTTAAAGTGGGAGCTCTATTAGGCTAAATACGGTTATGCTACATTCCCTTGGACCATAATTAACCTGAAGGACATGCATTCTTTTAACTTCTCCCTCTTCTGCCATGAAAATGCAATGCATTAATAAAATAAATACAGGAGACAGAAAACTTAAAATACTATTTTCCAGCCGTGTCATGGAGGCTAAGAATTAGCAGCTTTCAAACAAAGACTGAATATTTATAGGGATAATAAGAGCATCCATGGTTATATTAGTTAGGATTAAATATAATGCTCAGATTTGTAATGGATATCAATCTTCATGCTTCGGGACAGAAGTCAACGTCATAGTAATGAGATTAGGAAGAAATGTATTTGCTCCATAACTGTTCATTTAGGGGTTTTTTTTGAAGCATTTGCTACTAGTCATTACTGGAGGGAGCCTATGGGACCAGAAGCAGGCCAGATGACTCCTAAGCATGAAGTAATATAGAAAGATATCTAAATGAGTCTACAAAAATTCATCTTAAAGCCTATATAGACTTGACTTGTGTTTCTTTTTCTCATTCTTTTCCTCCTTCCATTTATTCTTTTTCACCTGTTCTCTCGTTTCTTTTTCCTTCTCATTCCATCTCTCACTTCTGTATCTTTATTTGTTGAAGATGTGCAACCCAAACTCATGTGAGCATTGGTGGGAGGCTGATGTTGTTACTTTCTGGTAGTATTGATCCCAGTACCATTTTTTCTCTCCTTTTCCTTTCTGTCTCTTACCAACTCCTATTTTCTCTGTTTTTCTTTTCCTTCTTTACTTAACTTTCTCCTTCCATATACTCATTATTTAGAAAGGTATATTAGCACTTATTATTAAAGCGCCTGAAAATTTAAAATTTGTCTATCTAAACATGTCATAATACA